GTTGTTGTTGTAGTACTACTACTACTACTACTACTACTACGACGAGGACGACTAATACTACTACGACTGCTACTGGTACTGCTATTGGTATCGCTACGTCACCACTACAGCCAATGCTACTTTTGTTGAGAGTCTTTGATGCTAGTATTATTGCTACTATTACAATTGCTCTTACTGTCACGAGTACTATGGTATTGCTGGTTCTGACTGCTTTTTCAGTCCTTGTCGTCGTCGTGGTGTTGCTCTTTCTGCTTCTGCTCATTCTGCTCTTCTCTTCGATCTTCGTAACCATAAACACCTAAACCCTAAACCCTGAACCCGAAACCCAAAGCTCTTCGTAACCCGAAACCCTAAATCTCCTCCTCTGAAAGCTCGGGAGGCCGCTGGCGCTGAGGGCTCGGACGAACAAAGCCTCTTGGAAACTGAGGTGGCCTCAAGCAACGTGGTGAGGAGGGTGGGTTTGGGAGTTGAAGGGTTTACGATTGACGGGTTTGGCACTTTGGGTGTGCAGGCGCTTAGGATTTGGGGGTTAGCGGTTCGGGCATGACTTGTTTTCTGCTGTAGAGGTTTACGGTCTGGGGTTCTGAGTTTATGGCTGGGGGATTTAGGGTTCAAGGGTTTAGACGGCTTAGAAGTCAAGGGTTTACGATTTCGTCGGTTTTTGTCGGCCCTTGTTCCTCCTATCCTCGCAGACTTCGGCTCTTTGAGAGCCCATGGGCCTGCGTGCCTGCCAAGTTTGTGACGGGAACCGGGCTTGGGGGGTTTGAGTCTTACGATTTCAGCATTCAGAACTTCTGAGAGGCTAGGGTGTGGGGATGGCTAAAGGGGTCTGCGGGGCCAAAAGAAAATGCAGCAATGAATAACCTGATGCTTCACGGCTTGATGTTGAAGAGGGTTTTTGTAGGCAGTCTTCCGGGTCTTCCGCCATTCCGATCACGAAGTTGTCTCTGCTTCTAGGGCTTTCAAGGCTTACGGTGGTTCTCCTTGCCAAGGGCACAGGACCCATGTTCGCCATCTGTGCAGTTCTACTTGTGTGGCAGGGTTCTCTTGTTTCGCAGGCTTCCTGCTGGATCTTCCGAAATCTGCTTCAAGAGGGGTCTGCCCTGATGACTTTCTCGCATTTGAAAGGAAACGCTTCCAAAATCATTGCCCCTTTGCACATGAGCACGGCCTGCAGTCTCTCCAGCACATCTTCCAAAAGCACTTGGGTAGTTTTTTAAATTGGGGTCCTTTTGGGGGTCCTTTTTATAAGGGTGCCGTACTATATTGGGGACGCAAAAAGGGACCCTGATTTAGAGAACACCCACTTGGGTCCAAGCTAAACTGAAACTCGCCCGTCATGTCGCCCAGGGTCAGGATCTTGACCTCACAAACCCGAGAAGAGGTTGACCGGGCTACAAGGCTTGGCTTCTGAGGCTCGCGCCAAAGGGACAGAGCCATCCTCGAAAGTGAATACTGCTGTCGGCACAAGTCGTCAGTAGTAAGAATGAGCAGCAAACACAATGTACCTCCAGCAACTGTGACCACAATGCCAGTTGGCTTGGCTCCTGTGCATGGGCTGCTTATGAGCTGGACGCTGCTAGATGAGAGGTTAATAACCCTCGTGCCTTCAGTGCTGCTCGAAGATCCTCTGCCTCGTCGTTGGCTTGCAGCTACATGTGCACCACAACTGCGGGCATGACTCTGCAACTCGGTTGCCTGGAACGTACGTCGCTTTGCTATGTGATTGGCCTCAGAAGAGTGCAATGCCTTGTCTGACAACTCTGTTGCAAGAAAATGTTACGCTTCACGAACACGTGTTCAAAGTTTAAAGGCGAAATTCGATTGCATTTCGGCATGCAAGGTCTCATGCTTCATTCGTGAACACGTGGCGACAGTCATCTTAGCTCCCGGCCACAGCGATTGCCTGCAGCATCTCCAGCACAGCCTCCGGATGATTTCGGGGAGGTGCTTGAAATTCCGTGCGGCTCAGATCTTGGGGGGGTTGCAGACACTGCTCCGGGTCTGAGAGGAAGCGGGGTGCATTTCATGACGGCGAAAACCTGCGAAAACGGTCTTCGCGCCTGCACTCGGTCCTGCAACGCTTGGCAGGGCTTGCAAAGGCCACGCAAGCTCTCACTACCGCACTCACCCTTCTCGGCGGGTGCTACAGTGTGAGTCGGAAGTTGCTCCTTTCCAACCCGCCGTTCAAGGGTAGAGAGCATGCCCATCTCCTCGGCCGCAGCTTAACAATTACCTATACTATTCTGGTATCCCATTCAGGAACCCTTAAAAGGAACCTTTCTACTTATTAAGAAAGACCCCTTCATTACAGCGCAAGACAGACTCGGAAGTACAACACTGGCCAAGGCCCTGTCGTAGAGGTCATAGAGGTTCTGCGGCAGGCGCTGGGTCTCCACAGCCTAGGCTTGGGCTGATATACCGACCCCCTAGATTCGAGGGTGCCGTACTATATTGGGGACCTAAAAGGGGACCCCAATTTAGAGAACTGCCCAAATAGTGCTGAGCTGGTCCCCATTGGGTCCCTGAGGATCGAACAAAGGCACAGGCCAACACCGATAGGAGCACCTTCATCTTCGGAAAAACACCATGGCAAAATCAGAAGCAAGCAGTAGCAAGCAGACTTTCAAGACGTGCAGAGACTGTTGAATTGAAGCTTGGGGAGTTGCGGGGATGCGGCAGATGGCGTCGAAGACCGACATTCTGGCCTTTTTTAGCGGGACTGACAACCGTCTCGCTGATGGGGCCAGTCAAGCTATGTCTGGCCTCCAGCATGGCATCAAAAGTCTCAAGTCCACCTGCGCAGGCGTGCGGCGCGGGTAACCGCTTACGGAAACCTGGCCGACCTTTTGACAATACCTGAGAGCCTTTACTTCAACCGTAGCTGCCTTGATTCTTGAGGCTTTTCTGGAGATGCGTGTAGTGCTCCTGACTCCAAGCAGGGCAGGCAGATTGGGGGGACCACCCGAGTCGCTGTCCAAAGCTCCTGCATCTGCGAAGTCCTCGTGGCGACATGATGCAAAAACCCGGGGCTTGTAGCACAGCAAGGCCGTCAAGCACACCCTGCCTATACGCAGACAGGCATTCTGAATGATGGATCTGCACCTGTACAAGAAACCGGGAAGCTGCGAAGGCACGTGAACACTTCCGGCCTGAGCGGTGTGAGATGCATCCTGGAATTTCAGTCTGAGTTCGTACCGCAGGAACCGAAGCCGAGTCGGGCCAGGATCTTGAAAGGAGCTCCAGCGACGAGCAACATGAAGACTGGCGGGCTCTCCGTCGATTTGCACCGTGAAGCCCGTCAGCAACGTCTTGCAGAGGCTCGCCAGTGAGGCGGCGCTAGGACACACGAAATCCGCCTTGATCATGCCAAGCTTCTTGGAGTGGATGCTCAGCCTTTTCTGGACATCTCGAGTTTCTGCCGGGTCCTTCTCTGCGTCTTGCGGGTCCAGTGGAAGCTGCAGGCATGCCGGATTCAGCCCCGCGCTCGCTAGCAAGCGAACGGCCGCACAGAAGAACACGGCCGCGAAGAGTTCGTGATCAATCACCGCTGTGGCTGGCGCCACAGCCTCCTCGACCATCTGCGGAAGTGCCTCAAGCGCGCGGCGGTCCGCACTGGATTCCGGGAAGTTGCTTTGGAAGGCTTCCTCCAGAGCTTGCCGGGCCCTGCTGAAGGACACAAGGTGCTTGAAGAAGGAATTTTGCTGAAGTTGCTTCTCGATGATCTTGTGCTGTTGGTCCCCGCTCAGCGGCTGCAAGTTCATGATGATGAAGCTCCTGGAATAGAGGCGTTTCCTGATGCCCTCGGGCCGGGATGTCACCAGGAGGGGAACCTTAACAGTCGGTGAGGTTTCTGACGAATCTGACGCTTGTGATTCTGCGTAGGGTTTTCAGAAGAATTGATGAACAGTTGTACCCGTAGGTACCCTTGTTTAACAGCAATCAAGGAACGCCCATCAATACCAGAGTCTTCGTCACGAACTCCTCCACGGCTAGCTTCATGTTGGCTGCCTGCATTGCAAACTGGCAGTTCGGCGAAGGGCTCACATCCCCTGACAGTCTCATTCCAAACCGCCCGGCCTCATCAATTCCATCCAGCATTACAATCAAGCTTCGCATCTCGAAGGCTTGCTCCAGCATGTTCCTGCCGATACGAAGACTTCTGTATTGCACCATCCCGGCCCGGCCAACAAACAGCGAGACATCGAGAAAGTCCTGGTAGGTCCCTGGGGATACTCGGTCCGGATGAAGAACAGGACCAGGTTTGACGATGCTTCCTTCAATGCTGACGTGAACAACTGTGACTCAACACCTGTCAACTTTTAGCTACTTGCTCTGTCCATATGACTGCATGACTTGACGACGCTAGGCTATTTCTGAATTTTCTAGTAGGCCCACAGCACATGCAGTGCCTCGTCTGACGCCGATCTTTGCCGCAACATTCGCGCCTTCAGTTGTAAGGCATGTCTTTGCAGCACTGGTGCTCATCACAGCGACTGCCAGGAGCGCGACCAGCTTTTGTATGGGAATCAGTAGGGGCACGAAGCGAAACCTGCAGTCTCCGAGACAGTTGAGTATATACGCTTCTCCTCTGAGATGCTCACTCAGGGTCACAAGATTTTCTTGAGCAACCCGCTTGACGAAGTCCTCTTTCTGACCTCCTCCGGCCAGTTCCTGTCACGCCATTCGTCCAGACGCACAACATCAGTAGGAGTTCGCAGCTTTATGTCGCGGGAACATTCTGCCTGGGCCAGCAAAAGCAGCAGCTGTTGCATCGACCAAGTCCTTATTCATAGATGACGCTCACGCTGGTCACTCGTTCAAAAGAGCTAGTGCGAGCACAGCTGATTGATGATGGCTCTGCTCAGTACAAGCAGAACAAGTGTCACGGGGTGACTGAATTGGCCTGCTCGCTTTCGCACCCGTGCATCCCAAGCTAACCCCAGCACGGACTGGCCTAAAAGGATAGGTTGCGGAACCAGAAGGAATGCCATTGCTAGCTGACCCAATATTACGGTCGAAATAAACCAATTCTATCTTGGGGTGTAGTACACCCCAAACCCTGTGCTGATTCCTAAGGCCCCTGTGTTAGCCTCTTTAACACGCCCTAAAACCCTAAACCCTAAAACCCTAAACCCTAAAGCCCTAAAGCCAGAAAGCCCTAAACCCTAAAACCCTAAATCACTAAAGCCCTAAAGCCCTAAGATTACCCTAAAACCCTAAAACCCAAAATCCTACACCCTAAAACCCTGAAGCCCTAAACCCTAAAACCCTTAAAACCCTAAAACCCGAAAGCTCTAAACCCTGCCATAAGGTGCAGCGAGGCTCTTCCCAGTGCCGGGTCCGGCCCTGATCAGCACGGGCTGGCACGAGTGAGCACCGTGGGATCTCCCTGCCGGTTTAGGCTTTTAGGGTTTTAGAGTTTTAGGGTTTAGGGTTTTAGGGCTTTAGGGCTTTAGGGTTTTAGGGCTTTAGGGTTTATGGTTTAGGGTTTAGGGTTTTAGGGTTTACGGTTTAGGGTGTAGGGGATGGCCGGATCAAGTCTCAGAGCAGAGGCCCCTGAACACTAAACCCTAAGGCTTTGGGGTTTTGAGGTTTAGGATTTGTAGGGTTCAAGGTTCACAGGGTTTTGGGCTTCAGGTGCGGTTTGGGGAGTTGCAGTTTGTTTGTTTGAGCCCTGAACCAACAAGCTTCAATTGAGAAACCGAGAACTCGTTAACGCCCTATACTCCGGTGAACATATATATATATATATACAGAAATGTACGTACAGTAAAAACGCTGATTGTAAACACACTTTACCGTCGACTTGCCAAATCTACTATATTAAAGATACCCCTTCAGCCCGAAGCGTCCTTGCGTAGTCTCCGGCCTTGGACCACGCGGCTCTTGTGCAGCAGCAGCGGGACCATCTCGGAGATGTCCCGGACCTCCCAACGACAGGGGGCTTTGCAGCCTTCAGATTTTCGACGGTCTTGATATCCCATCTTAGAAGGATCTTCGCTGTACAGTTTTACAGCAAACATTGTGCTTCATCGGTGTTACTGCTATCGTCTGCATCAGAGCCATCCTCTGACCGGTACGAATAAATACGCCGAGCTTTGTCAGCCGACCTGCTTCCAAGTGAACCATCAACCGAGTTGGACGAAACTGCAGTCGCGATTGGCAGCATCCTGTCCGCTGTGTTCCAACAGGCTTCCGCAACGAAAACGCTTGCCCACATGATCGTGATGATCGGCCATGCCAACAGCGATAAGAAGGCCGCTGCGCGAAACGGCATCAACAGCAGCAACGCAACCGCCTGGGACCACTGCTCATTCATCCACGCTGTCGTATGTGCCGCCAACAAACGATCAACTAGCTGCCAACAGCATGCCACGTACCGCACTCCACTGACGTCTTGTCGTGCATAGGCAATCACGAACCATGTGGCTAGAGCCACGCAGCAGCAAAGCAAGCTCAAGAAACTATGGACTAAGCGCTGGACCCTGCCCTGAACCTTCCGCTGTATCGTCCCGTTACTGTCGAGCTTGGCGAGACTGTAAATTGCCCAAGCACAGTCGGGAAGCGTGTGAAAGAGTTTCCAACTTACTATAACGGTGAGCGGAAGCACTTTCATTAAACGGGCATACTCCGGTGGCATTCTCAGGATGCTATAAATCTGCACTGTTGTGCCCATGAAGCACTCGAAGGTCTCGGCAGCCTTGATTTTCTTCAGCTTCTTGCTTTCTTTCCCGTTGTCCCTGACCTCCTTCAGACCATCGATAACTCCTTTAGTAAACAGCGGTGTAAAACCTGATGTCCCTTTGGACAGCAGCATGTAGGACATCAAAAGGCCCGCACACATGAAGACCGCGTAGTAGGGCTGGCCGCTTCGCAGGAAAGTCAAGAAGACCACGAGGTCCAGTGCTGGCCGAGCTAACAAAACCACGGCACGGGCCTCATCGCACCCTGGCCATCTGTCAAAGACACCGCCGGACCCGAGCAGCACCAAGCAAAGAATGATGTATGCAAGGGCCCATAAGTACACCAGTCCCTGCGAAGGTATGATTCGCCTTGCAAACGCAGCAACTTCCACCTTCAAGCAAGTGCCGTAGATAATGCGGACGGAAGCATTCCTATGTGTAGCAGTCTTGATGACGTGATCGTAGCTGAATGCATACGCGATGCAACTGCCTGGGCCGAGGCTATGTCGACACCACTGCAAGCAGGAGTCTACTTCTTCTACAACATCCGTCTGCAGAAAGCGCATGCAATCTGCCGGCAGATGAGAAGTATTGCGGAGCCGATCCTCGTATGAGTCGCTATTCCAAAGCTTCGTTTCGTCTGGGGCGATCAGCCCATCGATCCAAAATGCCACATATGAGTATGTCAGTGCAGCAACCAGCATGAAACCAATGGCCATTCCGATCATGCTGACCTTCCCCTTCCACCAGGAGTCCATGTCCCTCAGCCAGGCTTGCAACGAAGCCTTTCGTCGACATGTCTATGACACCATGAGGCTCCAGCTTGAAAGCTTCTTGGGATGGAAGTATTGCTCGGGGCTTATCGACTTCATGGGTGCTCAGTTTGTACGTCATTCACCTTATGTACAGCTCCGGGGCAAGCCCCTGACAGCTTGATCCGTGTGCAGCGACCATGGGAAGGTGAACAAGATTTTCGGTGCCTCTGACTTTGGAGCCCGAGACTGTACAACCCGGAGATGTTCCCTTCGGGATGCAAGGTGCTGCATGGGGGAAGAAGCAAACATAAATGCAGTTACACGTAGTTAAGTTCCCCTATAACACCGAGCCTCTGAATGCAAGGGTCCGGTGCCCGGCCTTCTCAAAGGACGAGTTTTGCACCTCGACTAGGTGACTAGGCAATCTACTCATGGCCAGCAGCCACCAAGGACACTGCACCCAATGCGCCTAAGGTACGTCCACCACATCGAAATCATAATCTGACGGGTACCAGGACACGCTCTTCTTTACAGCCGCCGAGGCCCGAAACCCAGGAAACTACATCACGAGCACACAAGCAGGCGCATTGCGGTCCGAGGAATCGTTCCCTTGAATAGTCTACACACGCACTCTTTGTACCAAGGCCCTCCTCTCCCTTTGACACACCTCTCCGGCAATCCCGAAACCTCAAGGCACATTGTCATCCAAGACACTCCGGAGATGGGTCGCCCCCGTTTGATGGAGCTGGAAGGCCTGGAAGCCGCCGGAAGAACTTAACGCGCTGTGATCAGGGGCCTCGAAAACCCTAAGCCCAAACAGCAAGTGTCGGGTTTAAGACAGCTGGTTGTTCATACTTACTGAGCAATGAGCAGGATTTAGCATATAGTAACGAGTTTGCTGCAAGATAGGAGGTGGTGAGCACTGGCAGCAGAAGCAGTCGCAGTCGCACAAGGCATCATAATATGAAACGAAAATGACCAGTATGCTTCCTGTCAGCGCAGCCTCTTTAACTCCAACATCTGCTGTTCGATCCATCGGGCTTTTTTGAAACATCTGCAGCTGAGGTTCAAAGCTGGAGACGATGTTCCATCAGAGTACTTGACGACGTATCCTGAGGCGGAAGGTCGCGGGGCTGTCGGGCCAGCCCTTGAGTCAAGGATGAGAGACACCTGCCTTCCTGGGCTTTGAAGTAACCAGGGAGGAAAAAGTATAAGCTTTGATTTCATAATGGCTACCTTGAGGAACAGGTACCAAAACAAGTGCTCAAGTATGGCACTCCAGAACCCAGCTTCTGCTTGGTTCCAGACTGAGGATGGCTTCCCCTAATCTTCCAGGTACCTACTATATAGGGCCCTTTTCGGGGCTCTAGTACCCTATATAGTAGGTACCTGGGGTTGGGGTAACATTAACCCAAAGCCCTAAGCCCTAATCCCTAAACCCTAGCATCACTCATGTTGTTCCCAGCCGACACCCCCGAAGCCTTCAACCCTAAACCCTAAACCCAAAGCCCTAATCCCTAAACCCCGAAACCCAAAACCCCACACCCTAAACCCCTAAACCCTAAGCCCCTAAAACCCTGAGCCCTAGGGCCTAAACCCTAAACCCTATAAACCCTTCAACCTACTGGTGTCTGTCAAGAATCGGCCGTGCTTCTGCAGGTGCTCGACGATGCCCTGCCCGTTGAAGCAGCACGCATATACTATACATACTATATATACTACCTATTTAATATATATAGTGCAGCATGCATATGGGTAGTTCTCCAAATTATGGTCCCAAATAGGTCCCCAATATAGTACGGCACCCTTATAAAAAAGGACCCTAAAGGGGACCCTAATTTAGAGAACTGCCCATATAGATCTTTAACAAAGCAGTCAGCTTCCATGCCGAGAGTTTCTGCATTCGGAAGACAGGGAGGAGCTGCCTCGCGGCCTTGCGCCCAGACACGATCTCCGAGGTGAAAGACGGTGTCCGAGATCCATTCCAAGTCGTCGAAGGCCATGTGCCTTTTGCAGGCATCACTAGCACCATGTGGGCTGCAGGGCAGCAGACTCCAAGACTGCCTCACACCCCAAGAGATCCTGTACGGGACTTTACTTTCACAGTCTTCGGCCGGGCCTAATGCTGTCCGCATCTTGATGCTGTCGCACCTGCCCGGCTTTCCGTTGCCGTCGTGCAAAGTTGAGCGGGTGCAGCGGAACATATATAAATCTAGCTGCTAGCTGTCGCAGTGTGATGCCATATTGCACCAGTCCCCTCTCCCACAACATGCCTCCATTTGCACCCGCACAATCTGCTCAGAAATGTCCACGCCTTGGCTAATCCGGGACTCCCCCTTCTGGCTCTCCAAGCAGGTGAAATGGGGGGAATACAGGACTCTAATATATTACCCTAAACAATAGGCTCCGTCTAATAAGGACCCCAAAATAAGGTACCCCTAGTTTTCGGAAAGTCTCAAATGACAAGCCAAGGCCGGTGAGCTGCGATTGCCGGTGATCGCATCCTCAATGTACCGTCCGTCCTCTTCAGGAAAGCTTGGCTGCAGGAAGTATATTTTGTTTGAAGCACCTAGAGGAGAGGAATGAAACCCACAAACGTGTCCTCCACCACCTTCTTGCAATACCTCACTGGTAACCGTATAAAAGACTGGCGCACTTGTGTGGTTGCAAACAGCTGAATAACAAGCTGCACGCCGTACGAACGGTAACCATACCTGCAGGCCTTTGAACATGGATCAAAAACTGACGGCACTGAAACTGACGGCACTGAGAGCGATATGCCTTGTTCATATGCAGTGGCAGCACGGATTCTCGAAAAGGCGGGCGGAGGCTGCGACTGCTGTCTTGCAAGTCCGGGCCGCTCGATCCGGGTCGCTTCGTAGTCTTGCAGGCTTGCGAAGCGCTGCAGGCTGTGGTTCATCTCCTCAGATTATCATATCATATTATATCATAATGCTACTTATCTTATCTTATTTTATACTCATATATTATACTCTAGTATAAGGAGCCTTGGCTTCCCTGCAAATCCCCTGCGAGGCCACTGCAAACGCCCAGCCTTCGGATACTCATACTCTGTCTATCTAGGTTTTAGGGCTTTAGGTTCATGGTTTATAGGGACTCTGAGTCTGCCGAGATGCATTCAAGTCCACCTCGTGTTCCTGCGACTCCGCTAGAAAGCACAGCGAACGCCGCAGAACTTCTCTCTGCCGGTTTGTGCAGTCCTCTGAAGCGCCGGCGGTTGTGTAGCGCACACCTCGTGCGAACCACAAGGCAGTTGTGACCCTATCTTTCGGCTGCATGTTGCTTTTGCGGCTTGTATTCTGCTGCATCTCTCTCTCTCTCTCTGTCGCTCTTCGTCCATAAGGCTTGGGGGACGGTTAAGGCCCCCCGGCCGCATGAGCCCCCCACATGTTATGGGGCTTTGTGGGGGCGTGAAAACTTCCCAGGTGACATATGGCAGGACAGGACGTACGCAAGATATTTGTGGCTACGCAATATGTTCTTCCGTGGGGTTGGACGCCTGCACGAATCTCCCTTTGCATGACCCTGTTGCAGAAGAATCTCGCAACAATATCAGATGCAAGAAAATGGTGATCCCCCTCTGGGTCATACTTTCAGCTTCAGTCAGAAAAGAGTCGGGAACCAACTCTCACTCTCCATCGTCGTCACACAAATCGAGGCCTCCCCTATCAAGCCGTTCCGCGCGCGGATGTGTAGCTCCCCTTTCCGGCCTTCGACCTGAATAATGCCAGTGATTCATTTCCTCCCAGCTGCGGCCAACCAGATGAACTGACTGCCACATGCATCCTGAATAATGCCACCCTCAGCCCCCAGTTCGATCATTTCCTGATGAACTGACTGCCACGTGCACGCATCTTCCTAACCGGGCGGAGGAAGGATTGGAGAAGACCAGCTGTACCTAGGACCTAGGGGCAGCCCACGTGCAAGGTCCAGAAAAGGCCAGACTGCCAAAGTCCTGGCATTCTGGGTCGAAAGCTGGCGTGCCATCACCAGCATTGCTCGCAAGCATGAGTCGAAGCTACAGACTCACCAACAACGCAACACTACAAATTCCAAAACCAGCACTTCCCTTTTCGGACATCAGCATCCTGCGGAGACTCCTTGTCTCTCTGTCTTTACTCTGTCTACTCTTATGCTGTACTACATCATACTACCGTAACGTAATACCCAAGGTTTTGCCAAGTGGCGGTGGCGGCTACCGAGGTGCCTACACTTCACACACAAAGCCGACTGTAAGTCGCGGGGGGCGTTTCTTGCAGCGTGCCTTCCCAGGTAGCCAAGCACTTCTGCCTGGACGAGATGCTCTTCGTCGTGGAGCAGCAGGACTTGGCATCCTTGCACACTGTGAATGGAACACCATGCCTTCGAACTGCTAAACCCTAAACCCTAAACCCTGAACCCTAAACCGCAAGTTGAGGCTTGCACCAGCAGCCCGCTCAACGGTGCTCGCCACCACGACGGTACTAGGCCGAGGATCCAGCATCTCCTCCTGCCAACCGAACTCAGCTAAAGGTTGCAGCATCGGACAGCAACGCAGCGATGTGCCTCTCCGCCGTCGACTTTCACGAGGACTTCCCCGGAATCCGAGAAGCTGACCACGGTTGCCAGGCGGTCCTTCAGCTGTTGACAGATCATATTCGAGCACCTACCCTAAACCCTAAACCCCTACAGGCACAAGGATGTCCTGCACGGAGGACGGCGAGGACAAGCCCAGACGCAGGCCAGGCTCGCTGGCAGCATATGCCAGCCTCACCCAACACGAAGTCTGTAGGGTTTAGGGGCCTTAATTCTTAGAACAGGTAACAAGGAACCCCCGACATAGCAAGGGTACAAGATTATGGCGACTCGCAAGTGAATCCCAGCACTGCACACACAGGCACAGGGTTTCTGGCCTTGTCGGTTTGACCCTCAGCCTCACAGTGGACCCACGCTTCCTGTCGCGAAGCTGTGCTTACCAGAGCTTAGAGAGGTCCGGGCATTCTCTCTGAAGAGCCTGGCATACTCCAAGGTCTCGCCAACCCTGCGAAGCAGTACTTGAACCTGACACCATGGCAGAGTTTCCAGAACTGAAGACGGATCTGAGCCCCGACAGTTGCAACTTTGTCTGGGATGCCGCGCCGTGCACATGCTGTCTGCATCGAGGATGCCCTCAGACTCCTGGTCGGTCGTTCACGCTTGAAGCCGACGAGACGCTGTGCTGCTGTTTCTCCGAAAGTAGAACAGTACTGCACTGCTGTGAATGAAGTTGTGCTTATGCCTCACGGACGGCAGGATGCTGAAGCCGGCGAACAGAACGATAACAGATGGCTATAACACTGCAAACCATCCAGCCTATCTGCTCCCAGTTCTGTTCCCCAAGACGCACGTGCTGTGAACCCAAGCCCGCCCTGGAAGCTCTATTAAGGAAGACGACGTGGCGAATCACTAAACCTTAAGCGGCATCTTCCACGGTGTAAGATTCGCCTATTAGGGAGTCTCGGGTCCAAAACAAACCGTGCAATGACATAGAGAAGAGCAGCAGCACAGGTCTCTTTTGCTGCTTCGACAAAGCAAACAGTGGGCATCGCATTTGTCTGACATTCGCAGCCTCAAAACCCCAGAAGCAAGAACTCCGTCTCACTAGAAATTTTGCGCATGGCCCAGTCCTGCCAGCCAGTCTCAACCCAGTCAAGACGTGCATCGAAGCCGTCCTTGTCCGGCTTCGTCGTCCTCAAACGAGGGCCACGAAACTTCCAGCCACAGAACGCATGTGCGAAATGTAGCACCTGGTCTCGTGAGAGTCGGTAAAAGTCAGGTCAGTTGGCCACAATGCGGGTCTCCTTTCAAGGCTCTTCCCGTTAAAGCAAGCACCGCAATCCGATGTTGCAGAAGTCGTCGTCGTAGCAGTAGGAGAAGCAGTCGTGGTCGTGGTCGGTGGGAGGTGTTGTAGCGGTAATTGTACTAGGAGTTGGAGCGGTTGAAACAGGCATCTAGATCCCCCTAAACCCGAAAATCCCCAACCGAGAACGAGCTCCCCAGTGCAGAGTCCTGGCATCTTCCACCGTTAGGAGCTCGCCGAGGTACCGCGCCTCCCCCGAGTCCAGGGATCCGTCCTAGGCCGCAACTATTAAGGATTCTTGGGTTTAGGGTTTTGGGTTCAGGGTTCAGGGTTTAGGGTTTAGGGTTTTGGGTTTAGGGGTTCTTGCGATTATGACTATGATTCTTTCAACTACACTTCTACGCTTGGCAAGTATCTTAATACTATCCGTGTATTGCCGGTGCTCATGCTGCCTTTTCTATGATGAATGGGAGGACCTGCTATCACGACCTGAGTACTATAAACTATATCCCCTGCGTAGTTCGGAGTGCCCACAGTGTCGCAAAGCAAATAGGTTCTCCAATTGCGACTACTGCCTGCACCAAGGCAACAACAACTACTACGACGACGACCACCACCACCCACCCACCCGAAGCCTACTATCGTTGCCAAAGCTGTTGTCTCAAGAGCCCGATTGCAACTTTTATCTTTGAGGGCAGGGTCTTGGACATATCATCACCGTCAGTTGGTCCTGTTTCGGTGCTGAGCTTCGTCCATGTGCCCACAGTCTAGTCCCAGAGGTGACCAGAAACCTGTAAACGCCCAGAAGCAGCCAGGACTCCACCAGATGAATGGGCCCAATCACATCCGCGGCAATGTCGGAAAGAATACCTCCGGAGAAATTCCCCAAAACCCGAGACCCCGAAGACCTCCCCTAAACCCTAAACCCTGAACCCTAAACCCTACGAAACGATGGGGAAGGCCGGGCGCCTTTCACATTGAAGACGAAGGCAGCCTCCCACCTCCGGTTCGCGCTTGAGCTTTCGTGTGTCTAATGGCAGCTGCAGGACAAGGAATCAGCTTGAGCCTTTATGTCTATGTTTATATATATATATATGGTAACCCCCCCCCCGGGACCAACCTCCGCCATGAAACGGA